GAATGGGACTCCCTGGGTTGCGGGCTGACCTAACGGCAAGTGACAGGCCCAGGCTCCACATCCTGCCTTCAGCTCAAAGGTCCAGTACCTACTGCAATGGCTGAGCTGCAGAGGCTGCACAGATACCCTTTTGACTCACCCTCTCTGCCCAAAAAGGGGTGCTCAAGTAAAAAGATCAAGGGATGCTTTGCCTCCTGCTTCCCAGTAACTACAAAAGAGATGCTCACAGGCTACACAGCTCATCCCAGTGACTCCTGCAGCTTAAACAAAACAGACATGATGCTTTACCACCCCACAACAGAGCAAACTATGGACTAAAACAGAAGCTAGCAACCCAAAGCACTTAACTGTACAAGTACTTGTAAGCAGAGCAGCTGCCTTCAGAGACCCCCCCAGAAAGAACAACCACCTCTCTGCTCCTGGGAGCACGGATGCAGAAGGAAGAGAAGGAAAAACACCCATGTGGAGAGAACAAGGTAAGATATAGCAGGGGGTGCAAGGTAGGACACGGTGTGATGCTGCTTGGAAAATCAAAGTCTGCTTTTAGACATGCAAAACAGTCAAAGGCAACAGGGACCGTTCAGCTGCCTCTGTGCTCTTCAACCTTTGGCCTAAGGAGCACTGCGTAACCATTTCATGCAACACGAAAAAGCCAAAGGGCTGTCCCTATGGCTAATACTGTAGTCTTGATCTACACATCTGACACAGGCGGAAGCACCTGCAGCTGAGCTAAACCCACTTACAGGCCCATCTGTGGCCAGATGATCCACACGGGAAAAAAACATGGCAAATTCTCACACCACAGGGCAGAGCCTGACCAGGTCCTTTACACCTCTCTGCTTCTTTGATAGAGGTTTATGGTTAACTGCCTACGGCCCTGCCTTTCTGTAGCCACTGCTCAGTCCCCGGCACTCACCTGCCTGCAGCTCCCTCATTTTGGTCACTTACTCCCATCACCACAGAGCCTGCGAGCTCTGCTCAGTTTCAGCCTCCAGCAGCAGAGCACCCGCTTTTCAGATGAGACACACAGAGACCGAGTGCAAAGCACAACTGAGATAACCCTGACCACTGCACTGGCACTGTGTCACCACATCCATAGCCTGCCACTTACCAAGGCTTTCTTCCACAGCCTCTGCAACAGGGCAGTCTTGGGAAAAATGCTGAAGGAAGAGAAATGGGTTTTCAGTTGCCTGTGGACAGCACAAAGTGACATGGAGGTGTGTGGTTTTGCTTTGAGACAGAGGAGGGTGCTGGATGGGCTGCACAGACCCAGTAGTGAGGTATTGCTCTGGCGAACAAAAAAACAGCAAAGAGCACAGCCTGGAGCTTACAGGGGGCTGGGAAGGGGAGCCAAGAACCTTATCCTGGGTGTTCATTTGTACTCACAGTGCACAGAAACACAACACCAGCTCCTAATAAAACCTACAGATCTGTGAATAAAAGTTGCTCTCTGGATCAACTATTACAATTCTCAGCTTTCTTGAATTTCAGTTTCATTTCATTTGTTTCATTCAGTTACTCTTACACTTGTCTCATTCAAATATTACTTCTGTATTTAATCTGTATGGTGCAGCTTTCTAAGCCACTTAATGCTGCAAATTAAGATTAAAGCATGTAAGCTTCTGTTAGCCACAGAAGTACAAAGCTCAGTTTTGTGTTCTCTAATTTTACGTCAGCATAATCCTGATGAAGCAACAGTTATCTCCTTTCAACAGCTTGCCTTGAGACATATCTTGCAGGAAGACAGTGAGTATTAATGATAGGGACTTATTTTCCTAATAAATCAGGTTGTGCTCATCCCAGTGTCCTTGAAAGGAAGCCAATCTTCAAGAGAAAGAACAAAAATCTAGTGCTCTGTCTGAAGGAAGAGTTTTCTGCAACAAACCCTTTCAGCTCTCCATGCTAACACACAGTAAATTAGAGTTTTAATTCACAGCCAATCTACCTGTCGAATTATCGCTGTCTGTGCCCCTGCTGGGAGGAACAAACTCATTTTGAGAACATTATGGGCTGTTTTACCACTGTGCTCCTCTACAGGCCCCCAGAGCCCAGGCTTGCTCTGCTCCAGACTTAACCCCTTCTGAGCACAGGTGTGCTGCTGGGAGCGCAGCTTCTGCTGTACACACCCCCTTGTTCCTACTTCTTAAT